CTACCTAACTTCTGGCCATTTAATTTTGTGGTAAACTTGGCCCCAAGTTGTTGGTTCTGGCCAAATGCACAGTGGCAATTTTGGGGTATCAGGAAGCCTGAAGGCACCATCAGGTTGCTGATGTACTCACCCCATAGGTACAGGCTGTCCTGTTGGCAGCACCATATCCCCTAAAATTACTTTGAACTTCACAAAATTAGTCTTTCCTCGAGAAATCCCTCTAGAAAAGCCTCTCTTGGAGATTCCTGGACTAAAAACTACTGCAGATAAAAGACCGAGAGAGGCTGAAGTAGCTCATACAGATGGACATGTCTGCCCACACCAAGAAGCCCCAAAGAGGTAGGTGGAGTTTCTCCTTTGGCCCACAGAAGGAGAGTTGTACCATTGTCTATTTCAATCAGGTTACATCAAGGGATGAAAGTCACATGAGTTCAAAGTCCAGGCCAACTTTCATTCCATATTCCACCCCATGTGTTGAGTTTCTTTGTCAGCAATTATTATTTATAATAAAATGAGAAAACGGAACATAGCTTTAAACTACATTCATATATGATGTACCTGAAGATATTTCAAGTTTTCGGCTTTGTTTTTGGTGTTTTGTTTGGGGACCACACCCAGCTGTGCTCAGGGTTTGCTCTTGGCTCTGTGCTCAAGGATCACTGTCAGGGCTGAGGATCAGGTTCGTGCAAGGTTGGCTGTGTGCAAGGCAAGCACTTTACCTGCTCTACTATCTCACCTGGCTGGAGCGATAGCACAGCGGTAGGGCGTTTGCCTTGCACGCAGCCAACATGGCCGACCCGAGTTCGATTCCTCCGCCCCTCTCGGAGAGCCCGGCAAGCTACCGAGAGTATCTCGCCTGCACGGCAGGGCCTGGCAAGCTACCTGTGATGTATTTGATATGCCAGACACAGTAACAACAAAGTCTCCAATGGAGGCGTTACTGGGCCCTCTTGAGCAAATCGATGATCAACGGGAGGGCCTTTACTTTACTTTACAATCTCACCAGCCCAATTTGTCAAGTTTTTGACAAATCTTTTGTCAGCTTGGCAACCAAATGGCCTTTATCAGTCACGAGCAGATGGTGGCACGGTGAAATGAACTCAGGCTAAAGATCTGGCTAGGTAGGGCCTGAATCATGGTTCTGCCACGATCCAATTGCCAGCATTGCTTTACTCTGTGCATTCCCTTAACTGTAATAGGGGATTGTGTTGCCATAAAGATTAAATGGGAATGTATGCAAAATGTCTGGTGCAGAACACCCATTCAGTAAACAGGTGTTGGCTTTTCTTGCAACTTTTTTCATTTGAATCCTGTTATTCATTCCCTCAAAGCTTACTGATTAAAGCAATGGGAAAACAATCAGTCAACAAAACACCAGTTCCAGGGGTCAGTCTCAGATAAATTGCCTTCAGGAATAGAATAATCATATAATGCTATTCAAAAGATGAGAAATACATTTGCAAATCACTTTTCTAAAAATGCCCTGACACCAACACTACCCCAAATATAAGATGCATGAGTAAATATTTGTTTCCTTTTGGGAAGAAATAAAAAGAACTCAAAGAGTTTAAGACCAAAATACCTATAATCTTTGAACTGAGACTCAAATCTTCATTAGACATGTTTAATGAAGTTTAGTACCTAGATTCATACAATTTTCACAATTTCTATTCAAAATCTAATGGCAGTTTTTGGAAAAAATAATCTAATGGTATCTTTTATGCTATTTTTCAAAGCTGCAAATCAACATGTAAGCAGAAATATTTTGCATAAAAAGCAGTACATTGAATGCCTGTATAAATTTCATAAAAATTCTTTCTCTCTTGAATGTTCACATCATGTATAAATAAATGAGTGTCAAAGAAAAAAGAGGTGGATAATTCATGTTTCTTTTGCTCTGAAATAGGGTATATTTTCCCCCATTAATGAATGTGATGATCTTTTATCAACAATTTTTACACAGAGACACAGGATAAACTAATGACATTTTTAAATGGTGTCTCATTTAAATGTGCCTACTGGGATTAAAAACTCAAATCAAAGTCACTATGGAAGATAAGGAGACAAGCAATGATTTGATCAGCAGACACAAATTATAAATCTCAAAATCAAATTAGAAAAACAAAATCACATTAAAATGATGAAAGTATACATTAACTTAATTTCTTAAATGTCATTAGTGATGTGAAATTCCCTATGAAAACTAACTTCTGCACAAAGCCAACCTAAGTCAGAAATAAAGCAGAGAAACTAATTTATTCCTTCGTTCCAAAGTCAGTTGGAATTGGGAACGGGTCATTATGCCTGAAAGCTCAATAATAAGAATCCAGTTTGGAGCCCATAATTGACTAGGGAAACAATGAAGTTTAAACTCTGATTATTGTGGCTCAAAGAACTGAATACAATATATATTATCAGTTCTGTATCCTTTAAAACGCTTCTGCTCCCCTCTGTACAGATTTATGGCACAAATTAAAAACATAAAGCCTGGTATCAGGATATATATGATATTTTGTAAGTTATTGAATTAGTAAATGTGATCATAGTTAAGCATTCACTACTTACACTTCTCTCATGTGTATCAATGTTTTATTTTTTAAAAAAATACAAGAAAATACCATTGCATATAGAATACCTTCTTTTAATTAAAGAATAACTTGATTATTGCCACTCAATGCCTCTTTTACAAACCACAACACCCCAAAGGAGAGAGAGAACAAAAGGGAATGCCCTGCCACAGAGGCAGGGTGGGATGGGGGGGCATGAGAGGTGGGAGGGATACTGGGATCCATGGTGGTGGGAAATGGGCACTGGTGGAGGGATGGGTATTTGATCATTGTATAATTGAAACCCAAGCACAAAAATTTGTAAGTCTACAACTGTACCTCATGGTGTTTCACTAATAAAAATTAAACAATTAAAAAAACAATAACTTGAAAAGAGAGAGAGAGAGAGAGAGAGAGAGAGAGAGAATAACCTTAAGAACTGAAAATTATTGCTTGGGCCAACCTCACCCACAAGTGAATCTATTCCTGGACCATGTGACACTTCATTCCACACACCCTACTCACAAAATCACAAATCACAAATCATCCTGTTAATCGTCGATTGCCTCGAGCAGGCCCCAGTAACGTCTCCTTCATCCTAGTCCTGAGATTATATTCAAGGCTCTTTAGGAGAATGAGACCCATCATTGTTACTGGTATTTGGCATATTGGGTACGCCACGGGGAGTTTGCCAGACTCTGCCATGTGGGCAGGCTACAATCGGTAGCCTGCCAGGTTGTCCAAAGTAAGAAAGAGATAATAAGATGTCATAATAAGATGTCGCGGCCGCGCGGTTCCGGGAGCTGGTTTTTATAGTCTCTGAGTCTTGGCCGCTGATGGGATTACACGGCGCCAGGGGGCCAGTTGGTGGGTGTGACCCCCGCCTACTGGAATTTGGAGGATCTGGGTGGAGGATGCTCTGCCCAAATCCGAGTAGGCTTGGAGATCTCGGCCCCGGAACCCGCGTGGCTGTGTCCCTCTGTCAGTACCTTCATGTGTGCGGAGAGTGGTCTCAGCATGGTGGTGGCTGGTCCTGGAGGTCTTCGGCTGCTGGAGCCCTGGTCGGGGCAGGGAGGAAAACTCAACCCGCTCCCCTCCAAGGGGCCTGGCGGCGAGGACAGTCAGGCGCGGGGGCAGGAGACTGCCACACCCTACTCACACTCCAAGAATACCACAGCACATCTGATGGGGCTCAAAGTAAGAGGCAACCAGTCAGAGGGAAATATTTTTTTGCAGATGCACACACATATGCATATATATATATACATACATACATATATAAATATATGCACACAAAGTTCAACCTTTCACATATTAGTGATCTCTTATAGTAAGGTTTAATGGCCCCTTGGTGAAATTTAACAAACTTCACACTCTTTCCTCTAAAGGAAATTTTTTGTATCATTTTCAGTGGTTTTTCATAGCAAAAAATATAAAATAAATTATTTTGGTTCTTCTTTGGGGCAGAGGTTGGGGTTTTAGAATGGAAACATCTGAAATATGGTGGTAGGAAAGTATAATGGTGGCAAGATTAGTGATTGAATATTAATTGTAATCAAATATTTTGAACTACTTTACAAAATTTAAAAAATTAAAATTAAAAAATTAAAAAATAAAAGTACTGAAGCTTTGGAAGAGCTACCTAAACAGGATCAGCTCAAGTTTTGCATAGTTCCCAAAAATCCAGAAACTACCCTGGAGCACAAAGTAAAGAGTAGCCTCCAGTACTACTGGATTTGTCCCTCCACTCCCACTGCACCCCATACCCCTTCAAAAAAAATAAATAACTGAGGCTTTGATTGGCACATACTATTGTACCATTGGATTTTCAAGATAATCTGCAACACTATTTAAAAGATTTCTAAAGGAAATTAGAGAAGAAAGGGAATTCATCTGTCTTGCTGATTGACATGACTTTATTTGAAAGACTGCCCAAAACATGGCCAATACAAGCAACTCCTGACAATACTTTTTCATAAAAATCTAAACTTGAAAAAAATATATATATAGCTAATTGATTCAGTCAGCAGTTCTTCAAACTAAACCTAACCCCTGTTCATGCTTCTTTATTTGACATTTCTTATAAACACCAAAAGTAGTTTTGAAATAGGACTGTGTTTTTTCCCCTAGCAAGGAACCCCAGACCCTGGGACTATAAGGATGACCTCGGTCCATGCCCAACAGTGGGATAAGCTTATGGTCTTCCACTTTGCCTGGGCACTTCCTGAGCCCTGGAACCATTTCAGGGGTCTAAAGTAAGATACTTTTTTTTTTATTAGTGAGACACCATGAGGTACAGTTGAGCCTCTTCGGAAAAAGATTGAAACTGTCCTAAAGAGTTGTCGAAACTTACACTTTTGCCTTTATAATAATGCATGTAATGAAGAGGTGGATTTTGTCTTCTTCTGTCTACACTTTAAGTTCCACAGAGGTGTGACTTATGGCCATCTTTAGGAAAGAGCATGAAGACATGTGGCTCACTGCAAGTGACCTCCTGTCTTTTGGTTCTAAAAAAAAAATTGAAAGTGAAGGAGTCCCTTGTGAAATAATAGAGGAGAAGAACCAGCAATCAGAAATCTTTGTCACAGCTTTATACTTCCAAAAGATTAGCAGAGCACTAGAGGAAGACTAATCCTTGGATGTGGGGTCTATTCATTTAACTGAGTTGGTGATTGCACAGTACTGGGTTTTCCTCATTCTAAGAGACTAATGAGTATGAATTCTTAGACTCAATTGTTTTAATGTAAGTTTTACAGAGTTCATTTCTTCACTTCTGTTTTTCCTGTCCCTCCTGTGTTATATTTCATGAACCTCTGGAGATCACTTTGCACCAAGAATAAATGTAGATGAAGTCAGCATTCTCTTTCCAGTATAGTTTTCCAGTATAAGTTATCAAGCAGAGCCCAGACATTTGGATTCCCCTTACACAACCCAAACAGATTTCCTCAGCTAATAAACTAGTTAGGAAAGAAATAGATAGGTCATTCAAATCAGGAAAGTTTAAGGTTGAACTAATGTTCAAATGAATAGGACAGCTCCCCAGTCCAAAATCATCAAGACCCTATTGACCTCTAAGCATTAAGAAGTGCCTAAAGATCTGTCTAAACCAGTGTATCTCAATCTTTTTCCAATCATGGCCCCCTTCTTAGGTTGGTCCCTTCCTGTATAGCATCATATTCTACAGTTTGGTCCCTCCATTTGTGTAATTTTCACCTTGACCCCCTTGGAATATCCTGGGGACCAACAATGGGCCTATATGACCCTTGGTTATGAATCACTGATCTAAGATATCCCAAAGACATAAGGCAAGGAGCCAACAATATGATTATATGTTCACAATACTTTACTGTTTTGATTATCTTAGACATCATCTGGTTAATCTCTTGTTTCACAGATTAAAAGAAAAAAACACTGGAGAAATGAAATGCCTTGCTCAAGGTCCTATCAGAGCTGGTTACAAAAGGTAGACTAGGACCTAAAATTATGCTTTTTTCTACCTATTGCATTTGACTTATACCACTCCATCCTTTGAAACACACCTATCCAAACTTTCTCAGACCTCAATCTCTTCCCTCTTTGTTTCACTATGGAGTCAATTTGAAGGTCTTCAGTGTTTAGCATCTCCTAATCACCAGAAGGTTCCACCTCTAGCCACATATTACTGTAGTACTGTAGCACTGTCCTCCCATTGTTCATCTATTTGCTCAAGTGGGCACCAGTAACATCTCTACTGTGAGACTTGTTATACTGGCACAATTTTCACACAAACTCACAGATGACTTCCTGGTGAATCAATTTAATAGGTTCATGCTTAGCTTCCTCTTACCTGACATTTCTGGCCTGTGGCTCTTAACCAGTCTGACCCTTCTTGAAGTTCCTTCTTCCACAAAATGCTTCCACAAAATCCTTCCACAAAATGCTTCCTCCTTGCTTCTTATATCCCCCAACAATATCCTTCCTTCTCTTCTACTGGGCTGTACTACCATATTTTTAATACTTTATTAAAGTCAATTCTTATTTAAAATAATGATGTCTTATAGACATATGTAAAATACAATATAATTTTATATTAAAGAATTTTTAATGGTAAAATAGATAAATAAAAATAAATTAGATTGAATATCCTTACACACACCCTCAAATATATCATCATTTAATCTTTGATAAGGGAGCAAGAAATATGAAGTGAAGCAAGGAAAGCCTCTTTAACAAGTGGTGCTGGCAAAACTGGACGGCTGTGTGCAAAAAACTGGGATCAGACTTCTACTTAACACCATGTACAAAAATCAGATTAAAATGGATTAAAGACCTCAACATCAAACCAGAATCCATAAAGAATCCATTGAAGAAAAGGTTGGCAAAACCCTCCACGACATTGAAACTATAGGGATCTTCAAAGATGACATGCCACTGACCAACAAAGTAGAAACAGAGATTTTAAAAAAATGGGACTATCTTAAACTAAGAAGTTTCTGCACCTCAAAAGAATCAGTGACCAGGATACCAAGAGAGCCTATGGAATGGGAAAGGATATTCACCCAATACCCTTCAGATAAGGGGTTAATATCAAAGATATACAAGGCACTAGTTGAACTCTACAAGAAAAAATACAATTCCATAAGAAAATTGGGCGATAAAATGAACAGAAACTTTCTCAGAGAAGAAATTTGAATGGCCAAAAAGCACGTGAAAAAAATGTTCTTTATCACTAATCATCAGGGAGATGCAGATCAAAACAACAGTGAGATATCATTTCACAACACAGAGACTGACACGCATCCATCCAAAAGAACAAAAGTAACCAGTATTGGCATAGATGTGTGGAGAAAGGGACTCTCCTTCATTGTTGGTGGGAACGCCGACTGATCAAGCCTTTTTGGAAAACAATATGGACATTTTTCAAAAAACTGAAAATTGAACTCCCATTTGACCCAGCAATACCATTCCTGGGAATATACCCTGGGGGCCCAAAAACACAACAGAAATACCATCTGCACTCCTAAGTTCACTGCAGCACTATTCACTATAGCCAGAATCTGGAAACAACCTGAGTACCCAAGAACAGACGAATGAATCAAGAAACTATGGCACATCTACAGAATGGAAGACTGTGCAGCTGTTAGGATAAATGAAGTCATGAAATTTGTCTATAAATGGATGGACTTGGCTAGTATCATACTGAGTGAAATGATTCAGAAGGAGAGGGACAAATATAGAATGACTGCATTCATTTGTGGTATATAAATTGTGGTATATATTAGAAGATTAATATCCATGGCCTGGGAAAACAGGGGTTAGAGAGCTGGTCATTGGTTGGATCTAACTACATGTATGGGACTGAGGGTAAGATAGACAGAGAAGAGGCCAGTATGACAATAATAACTGGGAATGATCATGCTGGACAAGAACTGAGTGTTAAAATTAGGTAAAGGGATATTCTTGATAACCTTTCAGTATCAACATTGCAAACTACAACGCCCAAAAGGAGAGAGAGAGACAGAGAGAGAGAGAGAGAGAGAGAGAGAGAGAGAGAGAGAGAGAGAGAGAGAAAAGCACCTGTCAATGAGGCAGCTGGGGGAGAGGGGGGTGATTTGAGGGAACTTGGGGATATTGGTACTGGGAAATGCACACTAGTGGAGGGATGGGTGTTGAACTACTGTATGATAAATCTAATCATGAACAACTTAAAATAAATAAATAGATAAATCAGATTACTTCTTTGTAGTAATAGAAGTATAGAAGTATTTTGTAACTCTATAAAGCAGTGGTTGCACAACACTATGAATTTACTAATTCACAGTTATCGGATTATAATTTAATATTGTATTTCACACATATATTTTAATTTATATGGTCATAGAAAAATAATATACAAATCATATACAAAATATACATACTGTTCTTTGCTTAGCTGGCTTATCCTTTTGGCTCTGAGTTTCTTAGCAGATTGTGCAATGAGGAAAACACAATTAGGTAATTTAATATCTATATGCTTCCAGCATAGTAACTGCTTAGGAGAAAAGAATTCTCCCACGGATCCTCATAATAAGGACATTCAGGATTGTGTTGAACCATGTCCTATCTACATCAACCTTTCCACTGTGTAAAATCAGGGTCAGGTGTTCCTTCAAGGCCCTCAATGGAAATACGAAAATTTCATAGCCCACCTCTTAGAGCTTGATTCTGAATAGCTTAAGAACTGAATTTAGACTAGCTAGAAGAAAGACCTATACTAAAAAATTTTCAGTCAATTCTCCATAAATAAAAATAGTAACTCATAACTGAGGTTTTGCTAATTATTTATCACCAAGCTCAATATTTGCGAATAGGACCTAAAGTGTAACTATGCTCTTGTTGCCAATGAAGGTCAAATACATATGATTTTGTAATCAGACCAGTTAGGGATAGAACAACATATGGTAATGAAAGATAAATACCATTATTGAAAACACTCCTGATAAAGACACACCATTCATAGAGATAAGTTTTGGGGAGTGAGGGGGGCATTCTCAACAAGAGATCAAGAACAAGACTTCCCTTCTTCAGAAAAGAGTTCTTGGTCTCATATGCACAGGAAAAATGACTACTAGGATTCCAAAGTTCTGCACTATGGTATTGCTGAGGTAATTGTAGTCTGGAAAATTTTTAAGGTTAGTGTCACCAAACGCCCACCAAGCCATTAAAATCTCAGTAAAGCACTCATCAAAATAACTCAGCTTAAGTAGTTTAATTTAGTAGTTAATCTCCTGAGATAAGGAACTTGGAAAATATGCCTTTAGAACACCAAATGAATTTGTGTCTTATACAAAATTCTTAGGCCTTTTATTATTAAAATATTTTAGGGTAGATAACATAAAGCCATTCTTTCAGAGCCCATTATCTGTTAAAAATCCCTCCTTTTTCATTAAAATAAAAGTCACAAATACATAAAAGAAGCTCAACATTCTTGCTGGCCTCTAATATGCTCATTAATCAGCTTATTCAAAATAGTATTGAAATCATTAGGACAAAATGATTCTCTGTTTAGTTTTGGTGTGTAGGTGGTAATGCATTTCTCAAGAGAATGATCACGTGGCCAATCAAACAAGCAGCTCTTTAGTGTTCTCCTTTCAAGACTTCCTTACTTGCTAGACACTCCATTTAAGATGTAAGGGGCTTGAGCCGTACAGCAGGTAGGGCACTTACCTTCCATGGAGCCCACCTGGGCTTAATCCCCAGCATCCATACGATACCCTGAGCACCGGCAAGAGTAATTCCTGAGTGCAAAACAAGAAATAACCTGTGAGCATTGCTGGGTGTGGCCCAAAAAGCAAAAACTAAGAAAATTAGATGTAAGGCCTTGGTGCCAGGGGGACAGTATAAAGTATTAGAGTACAAGCTTTGCATGCAGGAGCTCAAATTCAATCCCCAGCACTGCATGGTTAACTGAGCAACTTTAGAATCAACTCCCAAGCACTGAATCAAGAGAAAGCCCAAAGCACTTCCAGATATCCTTCCTCGAACCCCAACAAAGACAGAAGATCATTTTTAATAAAATATATTAAGCTTGTGAATTATAGAAGAAATTAAACGAATTGCTATCATACCTTCGGCTGCCGTAGCCCTGGTCGGGGTGGGGAGGAAAGCTCAACCCGCTCCCCTCCAAGGGACTCCGGGAAGGAACACCCAGGCACGGGGGCAGAGACTGCACTTTTCTCGTCCGGGATCTGGATTTTATAGTCTCTGAGTCTTGGCCGCTGATGGGATTACACGGCGCCAGGGGGCCAGGTGGTGGGTGTGACCCCCGCCTACTGGAATTTGGAGGATCTGGGTGGAAGATGCTCGACTCCAATTCGAGTAGGCTTGGAGGTCTCGGCCCCGGAACCCGCGTGGCATTGTCCCTCTGCCAGTACCTTCATGTGTGCGGAGAGTGGTCTCAGCATGGTCCCGGGACCAGCCACCACCATGCTGAGACCACTCTCCGCACACCTGAAGGTACCGGCAGAGGGACAAAGCCATGTGGGTTCCGGGGCCGAGATCTCCAAGCCTACTCGGATTGGGGCCGAGCATCCTCCACCCAGATCCTCCAAATTCCAGTAGGCGGGGGTCACACCCTCCAACTGGCCCCCTGGCGCCGTGTAATCCCATCAGCGGCCAAGACTCAGAGACTATAAAAACCAGCTCCCGGAACCATCTTATTATGACATCTTACTACCTCATTCCTACTTTGGACAAACTTGCAGGCTATCCGAATGTAGCCTGCCCACAGGGCAGAGTCTGGCAAACTCCCCGTGGCGTACCAAATATGCCAAATACCAGTAACAATGATGGGTCTCATTCTCCTAAAGAGCCGTGAATATAATCTCAGGGCTAGGATGAAAGAGACGTTACTGGGGCCTGCTCGAGGCAATCGACGATTAACAGGATGATGAAATGAAATGATGAAATGAAAAAAAATCATACCTAAGAATTGGTGGTAGAAATAACTACTTCTTTTGCCCCACTAACTCAGAAGTGAGAGAAAACTAATTCAATGCTCCAGAAGCTATGGTCTGTGTTTACTTTGGTCATTCCACTTACCATGGCAAAAAATGTCACTTGTATTTGTACTTTTGTATCTTTGCACAACTTATTTTTTATCATGCCTGCAAAAGCTTTCCATTCTTCTATGCTATTAACCTCATACTGATACTTTATGTTCCAAATAACATGTCATCTTCTCTTTAAATTTTTCCCTTGCTGCTTCCTTTAAAGACTCATAATTACCATCTATTCCCTGATTCCAGATCTCCCTCAAACATTTACCATGATTCATACACTTATCTGGGATGCTTCCAAGTCTAAATTCCTGGAGCAGAAGAGCATGTTCTTACTTTAAAAAAAAAAACTCCTTTAATACACTGAGTATAATATCTGGCATGCAATTGGAGTTGCATAATTATGTGTTATCATTGCCCACCTGACTGATGTTATCAGTGGTTTTGGTCACAGGAAATAGTCTCCCTATGAATCTAAAGACAACTTCTCAAGTTCACAAGTATATTCTTTATTAGCTAGTACTCTTGTGAAAATTAGACTCCTGTAGAACTTTAATCAGCTGCAACAATGTGATATATCGACTAACATCACACTGATTAATGTGTAGACACAAAATAAATGGAATATGCAATAAGCTTTCTTGGAAGGAAGGATTCACATACCCTAATTTTAAAATAGGAAGACATGGTAAAGATGTTATTGCAATTGCTACACATTAGATAAAATAATAATAGTATGACTTAGAGAAAATTATATTTTAACTGAAAGTTAAACCACTGTGGTCAACATTTTTGTCTTTTATTCCTTGTCATTATAAATCAAGATCCAAACAGTAATATTTCCCAGAAAGAATATATTGTTTAGAATTGGTAAAAGATTTCCATGAGGAAAATGTCATTTAAGAAAGCATTTCCAGTCCTCTAGATAAAATCTTCAGAATACTGAGAGATAAATGAAAAATGGGTTAAAGTCCTTCCAACTCTAAGATTCATGGATTCTAGATATAACATACAAGCCAGGTAAGAATACTTTCTTTCAGATTTTAAGTTTGGAAGCTCAACCACCATTTCTTCTTCTTTGCTCTTTCATAAGGAACGATAATTTTTTTTCTCCTCCATATGATGTAAAGCCCATTTTCTTATTTTTCTCTCCATGAAACTAGTGTGCATTTCACTCCCCAAAGGTCCTACATAGTTTCTCTGGACATCTATAGATGGGATACTGGTTCAACACAGGGCAAATCCAGAGTACTCTAGGCTGTAAATCTAAACAAACTTTAAACACACCAGAAAAGCACAGAGTAAAAAGATCTCAATTGAATTTACTGAATTCAATTGTACAGTTTTCTGGGATATTATGCTCATTAATTTATTTAACAAATATTAAGATAATGTTTGTTGCTGATTAGTTCCAAGGGATAAAATGATCAACAAAGCAGATTTTATGACTATTACAGTTTGAGTCTATATTGAAACACTG